GTATATGTGTATATATTTATATATATATATATATATATGTATATATATGTATATATATACATATGTATATATAAATATATATACATATGTATATATATATATATACATATACAAATACATATACATATACATATACACACAACACCACAAGACTCAGATAGTAGTAGAGAAACAGCCGAGAAAGTACCAACTGGCAAAGTGAGGAACGAGCAATCAGAAACACCAGAGCCAACGACCACACACGGACGCAAACAACTGGTAACTCCAAAAGACAGCCAGTTAGACCAACTGCTGTCGGGGTGCCACGGATCATTCTTCCCCGCAAAGGCTTAAGGGTTTTGTAAACTCTGTTAACAGTACTGTACATATATACCAGGGATGAAGAACGATAAAGCGCAAGACTTTTGTAACATGATCGAACCACATTGACCTTTTAAATTAAACCACAATGATCTTTTGAACCACATTGACCTTTTGAACCACATTGACCTTTTATATTGAACCACATTGATCTTTTAAACCACATTGACCTTTTGAACCACATTGACCTTTTAAACCACATTGACCTTTTGAACCACATTGACCTTTTAAACCACATTGACCTTTTATATTGAACCACATTGACCTTTTAAATTAAACCACATTGGCCTTTTAAATGAAACCAGATTGACCTTTTAAACCACATTAACCTTTTAAACCAGATTGACCTTTTAAACCACATTAACCTTTTGAACCAGATTGACCTTTTAATTGTCACGTCTGTAACGCATGGTTCATTCTTTCCCGAAAATGCTTAGAGGTTTGTAAATCCTCATATATAGTAAAGGTGAAGCTGTTCACATATAGTAAGGATGAAGCTGTACATATATAGTATAGGTGAAGCTGTCCATATATAGTATAGGTGAAGCTGTACATATTTAATAGGGGTGAAGCTGTAGGTATATAGTCGAGATGAAGCTGTACACATATAGTAGGGATGAAGCTGTAGGTATATAGTAGGGGTGAAGAATGATAAAAGACACACCCTTGAAACAGGATCCACGTTGACCTTTAATTCTCACGTCTCTAATCCAATGCGTGAGTTCAGTTGTGGTTGACCAAAACTCTAAATCCTTTTTTAGACAAGCTATGTGTCACCTGCGCATATGTGATGTGTTTTATCGCCCTATACATACACTACTAATAGCGTTTGTCTTCACTTTTGAACAGAGCTATCTATGTACGCCATAATACAACGAACAGTAATTCTCTCGGAAGTGAGATACAAACGCACACAGCGTCTTGATTCAGAAAGAAATTTTAGGGTGCATGGGTGTGTTTTAGCTAAAGAAAGAAAGAAAGGTACCGGTTAGATATGCAGCGGCTTTTAATGTACACGTTCTATGTGATGTCCATCGAAACTCGTCGCCTATCATGAGTTATATAGACTATATGTGCAACGCTTTAGACGTCCATGGCTTCGCTTAAGAATTTCTCTTCCTCAACCTTGTGCTGCTTCTTCACACCCGTGGCCGTAGACGCTGTTTAGGGTATAGGGTTAATTGTATTATGTAAGCATATGATGTTCAAAAAGGCACATGTACATGCGACATATGAGATACAAGATATATTCAAGATGTACGATAAGATACAAGATATATATAAGATGTACGATAAGATATAAGATGTACGATAAGATACAAGATATAAACAAGATGTACGATAAGATATGAGATATTTATAAGATGTACAATAATAGATAAGATATATACAAGATGTACAATAAGATATAAGATATATACAAGATGTACGATAAGATATGAGAACATAATAGATAAGATACAAGGTATAAGATATACATAAGATACACCAAGTCCAGCACAAGCGTACCGGATGATGCGCGGCCAATGTAACGTGGACGCTGACCCTTGTGCGTCTCCGAGTTGCTGAGAGCTGTCTCCATGCGAGGGTTGACATAGCTCCAGGCACCCATGTTCTTGGGCTCTTCCTGGACCCACACCACATCCGCATTTGGGTATGACGCCATTTGGCGGTTGACCAGGTCGAAGGGGAAGGGGGAGATCTGCTCCACCGTTGCTATGGCAACCTCCTGCTGCTTGCCGTACTTCTCACGGGCCTCCATGAGTTCGTACCGAACCTTTCCTGAGCAGAAGACAACACGCTTGACATCTGGTGAGCCGTCGGGGATGGACTCTTCATTGATGACTCGGCGGAAACGAGTGCCGTCAGCCATCTCATCAAGCGTAGAGGTGCAGGCCTTTAGACTGTCATGGGTGCATGGAGGGTGTTACATGAGGACGAGGAGATGGATCAGCCAAGGTGGGATACAGATGAACGGACACACACACACACATATATATATATACACATGTGCGCAAATACATACCTGTACACACATACATAGACTCACCTATCCATAAGTGTATATACGAACACATGTACCCATATATATACACACACATATATTCACCTACCCATACCTATACTTATCCACAAGTGTACACACACACATTGGACTGTATAGTACATATGCGTCGTTGGGCTTACCGCAGCAGCTTCTTTGGAGTCATGAGGATGAGAGGCTTTCGGAATTCTCTGTGCACCTGACGCCTCAGTGCGTGGTAGTAGTTGGCGGGGGTGGAGCAGTTCATCACCTGCACAGACAACGGTAGGTACACCAACAAGACAATGAGTCATCAATAACCAAATACAGTACAATGAGCCATCAGTAACCAAATAAGGACATACTCTCGCGTGTAGGTGGCGGGTGTGGTGCAGTTTATCACCTACACAGACAACGGTACACCAACAATACCAAAAAAAATACAATGGGTTACCCACAAGTACATGAGGACACGACGCGCGTATGCCAATCAGCAAAATGGCTTATACTCTCTCGTGTATATCGACCACCCTTTCCGTTAGCAGTATTGTGAAGTTCGGTCCCTCTGCCCCAGTGTGCACAGGCGCACTGCAGCGTAGCAACGGAGACCTCTACGCCACCCGATACCATGCAAGTGCATGGATCCAAACGCAACTGAAACCCTATACACTTTGCAGGGGACTGACTATACATCGCAGCGTTGTACTGTGTCTAGCTCCTCCGGTTCTGCCCAATTACAATGCACTGGGAAACATTAACATACTCACTCAGAAGGAACCAACAAGGAGTGCACCATATCACATAGCTATACATAGCGTGCAAGATAGAGTTACCTGCCAGTTGGTGTTCTGGATCTGGTTTCGTGCGTTTGTGTCCATATCAGGAATGACATCGTCAGGATCATCACTGCGCATAGGTTCAACAGAAGAAACAACAACAAGGTTAGAAATAGAGGAGATGGCCCGAGCATGAGCAGGTGGGTTAAAGGGGTGTAAACAACTGCATATACATATTAGATATAGAGTATAGGAGGGTGGGTTGTAGGGGTGTAAACAACTGTATATACATATTAGATATAGAGAAGATGGCCTGAGTATGGGAAGGTGGGTAATAGGGGTTTAAAACACTGCATATGCACATAGATATACAGAACTCCTATTCTAAGGTAAGCTGTACATGCACGCACACAGCAATGCTAATGGACCGAGTCAATGCGAAGAGACAGAGTGCTGAGACAACGAGTGACTACAACCAACAACTTCACACAGCCATGCACCAAAACTACACACGCAAACTGCATACGCACACACATGCACCAAACAAACTACACACGCACACAGCCACACGCGGAGGGACAATTAGACGCACATCCACACCATCACCAGTGCAGCAGATGGGCAGATACACAGCAACGCACCCATGACACCACACACATATATATATATATATTATATATATATGCACTCACAACGCACCTCATCTGCAAGAAGCGTTCCAGGCGGGCGGAGGAGTGTTCTGGGCCCTGTCCCTCATAGCCATGGGGCAGCAGCACAGTCAGACCACACTGTCGCAGCCACTTCTGCTCACCTGTGCATTGCGTACGAGTGCACACATGTCATCACATGAGACAGGGGGGTACATGCAGATATGCGTGCATGAGATAGGAGGGTTACATGCAGATGATAGGAGGGTTACATGCGTGCAGGTGAAGGATACGTAGGTGTGTGGTTGCGAATCAAGAAGCCAGCTAACGAATGGCAGGATGGTGAAGGTGTGGATGCGATGGGAAAGGCAGAACAGAGTCACACATACACGTAGCTATGCTACATACACGTGGCTATGCTCATGCGCAATGACACACATACACGTGGCTATGCTCATGCACAATGACACACATACACGTAGCTAAGCTCATGCACAATGACACACATACACGTAGCTAAGCTCATGCGCAATGGCACACATACACGTAGCTATGCTCATGCGCAATGGCACTTGACAGTCAAACACTGCACAGCACTGCATTGTGTGTAACGTTGTAATGGCGCGTATCACAATCATGGTCTCGTTGGCACATCTGGACACGCAGCAAACCAATACTGTATGAAAATGACATAGAAATGTATATCTATTGATACCATACGAATATGCATGGTAATAACGTACAAATATATGTTAAATACACAACACAATATATATATAATAATACAACACAAAGTATATATAATAAAACAATATATACATATATACCATACATACATATAACAACACCATACAATTACATACGGCCACAGCAGCAGTTCAATACGCCACCCAACCCTGCTGAACACATACAACAAACACCCCATCCAACTAACACAAGTGTTCTACCTACCGGATGATAGGAACTGGTCGAAGATGATCTGCGCGCCATTGGCGAAGTCACCGAACTGTCCCTCCCACATGACCAGTGCATTGGGGTTGGCCATGGAGTAACCCAACTCAAAGCCCAGGACTCCGTATTCAGACAGCGATGAGTTGCACACAGAGTAACGTGCCTGACCCTCGCCTGCGCAATAGTAGGGCAGGGAGTGAAGGTATATTAGTAATAGGTGATGGGTATGGTTTAGAAAAGTGGACCTATGAGTATATATTTAACGGATAAGTGCACGCATACATAGCATATGAGCAGGCTTTTATACGTATACGCTCATGCAGGAGCGGATTTCCATGGGTAGTAAGTAGTGCGGGAATGTAGGAGTACACAGAGTTGTTAATAGTCTTGTGGTAACATTCGATGAATAGTCTTTGTACCATATGTTATGCAGTGGTATGCAATCGCATCTGTATATATATATATATATGTGGGGTGCTCTTCGGATGGGATCATACATTCTCCTCACACTCAACCACACAATTTGGCGTATAGAATGTTGGTGGATGGTAGTGAGTGATCCGTGGCGACTACTTTAAGCTTGCATTGGGTGCACCGGACGAATGCATGCAGATACACAACACGCACTGAGACACCGGACGAATGCATGCAGATACACAACACGCACTGAGACACCGGCTGTCACACATGGACACATGCTTCACGCAGAGTACTGCTCACGTTGGGTTGAAATATACGCGTGCATTGCACCTGAACATGCGTATAGCCATACATATATACAGATGTCTACCCAGGGTATAAATACATATACAAAAATACGTCTACCTACGTTATACTCGCACATACATACCTACCCAGGGTATATATATATACAAATTTGTCTACCTACGTAATATTTGCACATACATGTCTACCCAGGGTATATATAAACATACAAATATACACACACACATGATCCTTTACATCTACATACACACACACACATGATCCTTTACATCTACATACACACACACACATGCTCCCCTACATCTACCTACACACACACACATGCTCCCCTACATCTACTTAAACACACACACACGCATACCTAGGTTCTCCAGGGGTGTGTAGGTGGTCTCGTCGTTCTGGTCGTGCAGCACGTGGTGGCGCTGTGAGAAGGTGCCTCGCTCCACATCCTGTCCGCTGAGTCGCACGTGATAGTCTTCCCTCAGAAGTGTACCAAAGGCCAATGCCTCGGCCGTGGCCCAGTCCACACCCGCGCCACTGTCAATGGCTTCCTTGCGCGCCTTCAGCACTCTGGGGGTCACGCACGAGGGGTGGGAGTATGTCAGACACGCCGGGTAGGGATTTAGAGTTTAAGGTTTCTAAACCCTAGAGGCAATACCTCGGTCTGTAACGGCACACATGAACGTACAGCTATGACTCAGTGTAGCTACGTATATATCACAGTTCAAGTACATCCATGCATACGCACACAGGTCTCACATACCAGTGCCAACGTGATATGGCATGTCCTGATATCAAATTCTTATTCCTCGCTCACCCACACACACACACACTCTCACACACTGTTGCATCTCATACAAAGTATTTGGTAGTGTATACGAATATAACATGGCACACCACATTGCAACTCACACATTCGCCTCCACACGGGCGTTCGAGCATTGGTTGTGTACACACACACAACACTCACCGCTTGACTCCAGAGTGTGCAGAGAATCCTTTGGGAACGGACGAGATGATGTTGCCAATGTGCTTGAGATTGTCCATGGAAGTGCCGGTGTTGAACACAGACGCATGGTCAAAGCGTGTCTTGAAGCCCTTCCAGCGATCGTCCATCCACTCGTCAATACGGAATTTCTGCAACAAGAGATAGGGCAGAGTTAATGAGTATGTCGCGCAGATTTATATGTATATATATATATATAGTTCGTACATAAATATAAATATATATATAGTTCGTATATAAATACACGACTGTGTTCTGGCGTGTATGTGCAAGATGGCGTACATGACTTATGTATGGACTAAAGCAAGCGTTAACGACAGGCGTTCGTATGGAACAGATGTGCAATTCCATTACACCCAACATCAAAGATGTATACGTTATTCGCTCTAGGGGTCCAGGGTTATAGATATTCACCCACCCACAGCACCCACCTCAGTCTTGCTCTTGTTGTAAGCGTTTTCGCACAGGTTCCAGTATTCGGCGTGCATGTCGTCGTAGTCCTTCTCGGTGATGACGCCTTCCTTCATAAGCTTCTGCTTGTACAACTGAAGTGCTGGCGTGTGCTTCGCAATGACTGAGTACATTTTCGGCTGTGTGAAACTGGGTTGATCAATCTGTGCGGAAACGAGGCATAGCAAAGGGGCCGAGCTGAGTTTTGGATCGAAATGGGTTTGGGTTTGTAACAAGGCACAGCAAAGGGGTTGAGTTGAGTTTTTGGATCGAAAAAGTTCGGGTTTGTAATGATTCTGGGACTTTCTTAGAGAGTGCGACTATAATTATGTCTGTCCATGTGAGCGCGCGCGTCTATACTGCCCTTGACTGCCAAGGGGGATAGGGTTTAGGGTTTGACTAAACCCAACACAAAATTGCAAAGTGTCATTTGCCGGCACGCGCACGTGGCGTGTCAGACGGCCACTGCCTGTACACTCATGGGTGTACGCTAATAATCCTCACAACGAAGGGATATACTGTCACGTTACTATGGTTCGTCACAGACAAGCCAGGTTTGGCGACCACATAGACGAAGCACATCGATGCGAGTGAGTACAATGCTGAAGAGAATGTTGGCGGGATTAGGCTATGTCGGTATAGTACTCGAGCCGAATTAGTTGTGTGGTTATCACGCACGCACATACAACGACTACGACCTAGGCCATGCGTACTACTTGTGCGTAAGGCCATCTGATGGAAGAAGATAGCATGGGGGCAATCAGGAGGGGCGGCGTAGGCGACCCCGACTCTTACTCACTCAAGCAGGTATATATATATATACATATACATACATACATACAACACCCAGTGGACTTACAACATAACTACGCACACAGCCTCACATACCTCATTGTGACCATAACGTCTGTATCCGATGATATCCACAATGGCATCGGATTTCCAGTGCTGGCGCCATTCGATGGCCAATTGCATGGCTCGTACGACAGCCTCGGGATCATCAGCGTTGCAGTGGAAGATGGGGCACTCCAGCGACTTGCCTACATCCTAAGGTGTCAACGACGGAGCATGGGAGGAGGTTAGCAAGGCGTATGATGAATGGAATAGCAACAAAGAGGTGGAGGCATAACATGTGCAACACCACCATACCAGTATGTCTTAATATATATACATAGCATATGTATGATACCAAAACAGTATATCTTAATATATATATATATAGCATATGTATAACACCATATCAGTATGTCTTAATATATTATATATATTTATAGCATATGTATGATATCAAATCAGTATATCTTAATATATATATAGCATATGTATAAACACCATATCAATATTTCGTAATTATAGCATGGCAATGACAGGACAAAGACACATCGCTCCATTGGTTTGTATGGGTGAGTGGTACCAGAGTGTCCGTCGCCTACACACATACCGTGCAGTAAGGCGACGATCGCGAGAAACGTGGGTCAGTGGTGAAGCCAATCTGATTATTGCAGACCACGTGGATGGTGCCACCCACAGAGTAGTGGGTAAGGCCACCTGCGCAAGGGATGTGAGGGACAGGCGTGTTTGCATGAGACCAAAAACAGGGACACAGAGGTACAGGAAAAAGGGCCACAGGCGCACCAGGGTCAGTCCAGGTGCACAGTCGTGTATGCGTCGCACGCTCATGAACATATCAGATGGACTAATGAATGTACAAATCAGATAAACTATTAGAACTACAGGGGTTTAGAGTTTAGATTAACGACAGGGTTTTACGGTTTGAATAACTGAAGCACGTGATACGTCGTACACCACCGCATCAGTGTAGAGGGATTTGATAGTCTACAGGTAGCATAGGGTGACATCTAGGTATAGATATAGCAGAGCCCATCCTATGCCCACACGTGCGTACAAGAATAGACCCATTTAATCGCCATTGACATACGTACACATACCCAGATTGAAGCACTCGTACACAATGCCCTGTCCACTGAACGCCGCGTCTCCGTGCAGGATGAACGGAATGATCTTGTTGGTATCTCCGTCACGGTAGAACTGCTCTGCCTTGACCTTGCCCAAGACAACGGGGTCTGCGGCCTCCAAGTGCGAGGGGTTGGCTAGCAGTGACAGATGCATTGGCTTGCCATTACGTGTCTCACGGTCGAGTGACGAACCCAAGTGGTACTTGACATCACCAGAGCCTGTGCGGGAGTATGGGGGGATGAGGGGTGAGCAGGTGCAGGCGGATTATGCGTGGTAGGTAGGGCCACGCGAGGTCATAGCTTGTGGGCCAGCATATATTGAGAATGTGGATGGCTGGTTGGGTTTGGGGGCCGAATGGGTGGAGCGCGGTGTGGGGAGTTCGCTAACGTACAGTGATGGGGAAGTATGTGCATAAGACGTAATAAAACAGGATGTGAACAAACTATACTAGCAGCAATAAGCCACCGAAGGAAAAACACAACACCCATGCACACCTTGTTCAGTACAGACAAGCACGCATCACGTACACACATCCATGCATCATCCACACATACCTTCTTCATTTGGTGCCAGCTCGGAGCTGAATTCGGCGAAGATCTTCTCCAGCGGTTTCTTCACAACATTGCCCAACACATTCAGACGGCCACGGTGAGGCATGCCAATGACCACACGCTCTACACCCAAGTCACCTCCAACGTCAATAGCGTGCTTAAGCCCAGAGATGGCACTCTCTAGACCCTCCAGGCCAAAGCGCTTCTCGGCACTCCATTTACTCTTGAGGAAATTCTCGAATCTGTGGCACAGAAAGGGTTGAGCGTGAGAAGAGCAGAAGGAACTGGACAATATATATATACATACACACACACATACGCGTGTGTGGATAGGAGCGGACAAAAGAGCATGACAAGGGGAGTGGAAGTACAGCTACTGTTTTCCATGGCATGCATCAGCGCATGATAGCGATCAACACATTCTGGATGAGAGATTCAGCCACACACACACTGCATCTCCCAAACCAGACAGCAGTGCAAAGATATCACCACCACCCAACAGCAGCACAAACGCCAACTCCACTCGACACACACACATACCCGTCACTCTGGATCAGGCGGTCGAGGATGGTCTTCTTCTGCTCGGCGTCGTACCATTTGACGCCGGGGGTTTCGATACGCTCGCGCAGCCAGTTACACTTCTCACGATCGAGTATGTGCATGTACTCGTATCCCAGAGTGCCGCAGTACACCTCCTCACACGCTTTAATCAACTCTCCCAGCTTCCACTGCTTGGAGTTGCCCAGGAAGCCCACGTTGTCGCCCGTCCCTAAGGCTACTGTCTTCTCCATGTCCGCCTCTTCTAGGCCGTAGTAGCTGTGCCACGTCACAGGGGTAGGTAAGTAGAAGGGTGCGTCAGTGTCGGTCTTACGTCGTGTCCAAAGGTGTCGGATGAACACGGTGGGGTATAGGTGCATCAGCCCAATGCAAGAAGCAGCCCACACAATGCATAAGCTCAAGCTACCACAAGGCAACGACAAAGGCCAGGGCAAACACACGCGCACGTGCAGACACACAGGCATACAGTTGTGCACATACACACATGCATACAGTTGTGCACATACACACATGCATACAGTTTGTGCATATACACATGCATACAGTTGTGCGCATACCTGGGTACAAGGACCTCGGGCATTTCACTGGAGAGATCGGCATCCATGATACCCAATGGATCCAACTGTGCCACATTGTGGCCTCGTACCTGGAAACCTCGCACAAGCGACTGTACAGCTAGCTGCATCTTGTCACCAGGCGCCGCTGCACCTGCACCTGCGGAACTGGACGAAGGAGCCGAAATGCCCTTCTTGCCTGCGCGGGAAGGGTAATGGGTGTATGTCATTGAGCGAATGCGTATTAATTCATATACAGGAAGACCAGGGGCTACATACACGCATCTGGATTGAATAAGCGACAAACAAACACACACACATATATGCACGCACAATGATTTTTCCTCTAGCACCACATGAGATAGACAGGAAAGCAGAATCAGCCACTCGCCCATGGTGCGACATGGGTACATGTTATTGAGCGGTTGAACTAGGCTTACGGGGTGAATGCCTGTAGTATGTGAGTTGTGCAAGTGCATGTGTATGGGACAAAGTATCCCACGTACACGCACATATAGGCGTATCTATGTGTCTACGCATCAGTATAATAACATACATATTCACGCCAATGTATGTATAAATGAACAAAAAGCCATTGTTTATATGTCCACACAGATAGAGATACAAACACACATCGCATACATATGAATGTGTGCATAATTGCAGTGGTATAACTAACGTTTGTGCATTCACAGGTTCAACTAAAAACACAGTCCCACCCACGTTAAAGCAGAAACGCTACCGAGATACGTGATACTAATATGGAAGTACCCGTACATACCTACAATACCTGTTTTAGGGTTTTTAGACTTACCTACAATACCCGGGGGTGCTGCGAAGGCGGATCCTGGGTCCATGCCTGCATCAACACTCTTGAAGAAGCTGTCCCATGACTGTGTGTGGAGAGGTCAAGTCCACCGTTAGGCTAGTTCAACTGGATGCAGCTATAACTAGTCCTATAATTGTGTATTATGATGCCATTTGCACGCTTACGAGTTGAATAGTGTGATCCCGATAGATGTATGGATCTTTGCATGTAGGCTGTTTCCTGTACTACTTACGTCTGGGTGGTGGTAGCATAAACACATGTTCTCTGACTTTCACGAAGCCGATAGATGGAACAACGACGGTTGAGGCGTTAAGCATTCACTGGAAGGGGATGTAACGGCAACTTAACCTCACCTGTGTGTAACCAGGTTGCATAGTATACTCATGGTGCATTCAATGTACTATAGGTGACATACGTATGTGGTGTCTTTAAGAGTGCACCGTGGTTCAGAAGCACGGACTGCCCTGTCCTACTGCGAGTTTATAGCTGCGACCTATTGATATGGAATAGACCTCGGCACATGTTATAGTCAAAGACCCAGTGCATCAAAACAGATTTATACATACAGAAAACTATACATATGGTCTGTATAGACACAAGCAATCACATACATTTAGAAAAACAATCCATATTATATTCACTTTTGTATAGAATTTGGAGCCATTCTCCACGGAAATACTTATTTATAAATGAATACAATCGGTTATATATATATATATATATGTAATTATATATACTAATCGTGTACATTCATATATTAAAATAAGCACACACAAATGCAAATATATGCACAATTTCATATATATATATATATTTCAGAATGTGTAGAATGTGCTCATTTGCACATGCACCAATGATCTATACACCCGCGCACTGACTCGAGTAACATGTCAAAAAGCCGTAGCTTCTACGACTGTATGGTGCATATCGTATGAGACACACGCTCTGTGAACATCAACTACACGATACTTTGGAACTAGATCACTTCACTAAAGGCAGAGAGCTTATTACTGTCCGAATAGACAACTTGTAATGGGTGTGGTCGAACAGTGAAGGAAGCGATACACAAGTTACGCGCGTGGCATCGCCAATCTGTGTACTAAGCAGCAACTCCGTCAAAAACGTCCTCAAGTAGACATGTTTGATACGAGCTCAGTGAGGAAGGTTTACCTTCGTCACTTATACACACTGAAGAAACAACAAATATGCATCATATGCACAATACACCCGACGGCTATGCCGTGCACTACCTGAGAACATACTCCTAAGGGTCGCGCATCAACCATGCCCAACATAGAACACTACCTAAAATCAAACGTATTTATATATGGGTACCATACCTTGTGTACAGAGGAGGGATCCTCCTTCCAGGCGGTATACATCTCGTCCATGTACACACTATTAGATCCGTTCATAAAGCTCTCGGCACTGTTTGATTGATACCGTTTCGTCAACAAATCAAACGATTTGGCGACACATGCGGTTGGCGCCATTGGCCGGGCCGCAGCCCTTAATACTGTGGTGAGCATTCCCAGATATACCTGCAATCAAGCGATGCTAAGTAGGTGTGTGTATATAGTATAGTGTGTAACTGGTGAAAAGTGTTCTGGCGACACACTCCCCCTCTCTTTACTGTGTGCGAACACTCCGCTACGTCACTATATATATGGTCTTCAAAAATATTTATAAATATATAATTTTAAAATATGCATTTACTTGTTGTGAGTACAGAGTACAATTTGTTCAAAACTTCAAATCAGAGTAATGACTTCCGAAACCAGTGCCTTTGGCCCCACTGGCCCCAGCAATCAGATGCAACTACTACTACTTCAAGACTCCAGTCACAGCTAGAGTGATTGTTTAATTACGACGGAGTGACTGCTTTTGGGCGGCCCATTTGGGAAGCGTGAGCAGACTATTGGCCCACCCATCCGAACAGAACCATTCGGATTATGGAATAGTCCTAAAGTCCAAAAAAAAAGCTTACAAATCATTCCACAATCGGCAATCCACAACAGTGCAACAGACTATAGAGAATTCAGAATCGGGGCTGGGATTAGGACCGAACAGCAGAAATCGGGTTGGTATAGAACTGTACCGAAATGGAGATCGAGTCGAAATGAAATCGGGTCGGTATGATCCCATTTCGGTACTGTACCTGATTCTGAATTTTGTATAGTTCCGAACTTTACTTTGCTGCGGGTTTTTTTTCAGAAACCGCAATAATCTGGCAAGTGATTACAAATTATTATTTTTGAAATAAATAAATATAATACAATAGCACCGTGGCCCGTGGAGTCGAGGACAGGGGACACACAGGTGTGAGTGGTTGAGCCTTTGAAGGGTGGATTTAATTAATCAGAGTTCATTGTACAGTTCACCACTCTGGGGAGTATGGGCCATTGCTTTACCTGTGCATAGTTGCATACGCCTAGTATTGTATAGTTACATACACTATAGTACAACTAATCCTTACTTTTACTAGTGTATCCAGCACAGTCACTCATCGAATCCAATAATATACCATGACAGTCAAGGGCAGCGTTCAGACGCAGTTCGATTCGCGCAAAGCACATTACATGCGTGAACTTGCCAGTGCGGTACCAGACAGATCCAGGAAGGGGTTCGCAGACTATCCCGTACTTCCCATATTAGACCATATCAATGCATTACACGACTTCTTTACCACCAGCTCCTGCTCAGGGCGTGTTGCGGTGTATAAGGAACACCCCACAGTTGCCATGGAGACGGCTACTCTCAATACTCTGTCCGGTGTGGGGGATGGGAGAGATGCGTCCTCAGACGACGCAGGTGCAAGAACACAAGAAGGCAACGTAACAAGTGTGAAGGAGAAGGACGATTCAAAAGTACCGGACATTACACACATATCCACACAACTACGCACACACCATAACGAACCAACATCACAATACATCCCCCCGGCAATGCACAAGGCGGAGGTATCGGTGGACAAGCGGAAGGGTGGTGGCTGGCTGTTTGTATCGCATGAAGTGGTTGCTATGCCAACGGATGATCAAGAACTTATAAAGATGTATCTACCAGAACATAACAGTATAGATAGTGATAGTACGAAGGCACACGATAGTAATAAAGACAGTCAAGCCACAACACCGTTACTTATATACCTGAAGATGGAGCCAGTAATTCTGCATGTAGAAGCCAGGTAGGTGCAGTAGGATTAGTATACGCTACAGTGATACGTCTTCAGCATGCGCTGAGTGTGCGGTGTGTACGACACTTAGCTGTTCACTGCCATATCAAAACGTATGGCGTGTTTGCATGTATATATGTGTACGTGTGTTGGTATATATTATATATATATATATATACATATCTGTCTATCTATCTATCTATCTATCTATCTATCTATCCATCCATCCATCCATCCATCCATTCATCCATTCATATATATATATATATATATATAGTTTCTTGTGTCAATTTGTACGTACGGGTAGACATGATCGTAACCTTGTGTTCTTGATTGTATTTGCGTTCGGTTACATCTGTTAGTCCTGTTTACCACGTGCCCTCGTGTATCGTTTCGTAGTGATTTGTTTGTCGGCCTCATTTCACAGCACGAGTGCAACATCACGCCTGGCCTGAATAGTTATCTTTAGTCTGTCCACGTGCACATTCATGCCATCCCCGTCACGTACATCTCACCGCTTACTCGTATCAATCACCGGACACAGCTCCCGTCTATTTATAGATCAGAAGCACCCATACATCTCACCACACACTGCTGCGTTCAATTTATAGATTGGTAGCACCCTTACTTCTCACCATACACTCGTGTGCTCTATTTATAGATTGGTAACACCCATACTTGTCACGACACACTCCTGTGTTCTATTTATAGATTAGTAGCACCCGTACTTCTCACCACACACTGCTGCGTTCTATTTATAGATCAGTAGCACCCATACTTCTCACCACACACTGATGCATTCTAATTTTAGATTAGGTTCACCTATATTTCTCACAATACACCCGTGTGTTCCATTTATAGGTTGGTAGCACCCATACTTGTCACTACACACACCTGTGTTCTATTTATATATTAGTAGCACCCATACTTCTTACCACACTGCTGCGTTCTATTTATAGATTTGTACCACCCATACTTCTTACCACACACTGCTGCTCTCTATTTATAGATTAGTAGCACCCATACTTCTCAACACACACTGCTACGTTCTATTTATAGATCGGTAGAGAGAGCAAGAGACATCCTCAATGTAGCACTGTCCTGTGGCTTTAAGTCGTCAGGAATCGTAACCACCCCAAAACGGCATATCATCCACATCCGAGGCAACCTAAAAATAGATGCCCCCATAGCAACGGTATCTAACGGGCTCATTGTGTCGCCCAGTTATTTGCGCATTCTCACACAGGCAGCAAACCACAAGATGCGTCAGAACTTGCAATCCATGGATAGGTATGTTGTGTGTAGTGTTGTGTAGTGTTGTGTGTGTTGTTGTGTGTAGTGTTGTGTGTAGTAGACCGTATACCATGCGAGCATGTTTCTCAGATGGTGTATCATACAGTACACGCTTCCCTTTGCGTGTGTGTGTGGGGGGGTGCTAAAGTGAGAGTGGAGGGTTGATGAGTGCAATGGTGTGATGTGCCTATGATTGATTGTCCAAGGTCAGAGCTCACAGAGACTCTAGCGACAGCGTTTGCGATAGGGTCCGTGAGTGTGCATTTGTGTGGACTTGTGCGTACGAGTGTGTGTCGTCTTTGCACACATAAGCACTACTTTCCGTAGATACGATGGTCGCGATAGTTTACTACGCCTAGGGGGGGGGTTGTGTCTGTAGATGTGCTGGTTGCTGGCTGGTGTATGGCTTTCTGTGAAGAAACTTACGTACGAACACAGTCACACACATACACGCACGCACCACATCGGTCCCACTGTAGGTTTTTGAGCGCATTACAAGCCGCAGATCTGGACAATACACATCACAAAAGTACCGCACCGAAAGAGTCGAAGGAGGAGAAGCGGCTGAGAAAACTGGCAGCCGGAATGGCTATACAGAAGGAAGTGCAACAGCAAAAGCGCGCCAAAAGAGAGCAGCAGCAGCGACTGAAAGAACTGCAGGAGAGCGAGTCATAATAAATCTATAAATAGAACACAAGAGTACGGTCGGCGAAAAGACGACAGCAAGAGATTTAAACAGGCTGTGTGGTGGGGTATGCAAGCGTGACACCGAAACTGCGGTGGTGCATGCACTGGGTAGTGTGAGTAGGTAGTGATTGTATTAGGTAGTGTGAGTAGGTAGCGTGAGTAGGTAGAGATTGTAAAAGGTAGTGTGAGTAGGT